GCGCATTGTCCATGCGCTCTTGCCAAGTCTTTCTAGTCATACCCATTTCGACCCATGGCTTCCCATCAGCAATGCCAGGGTGCCATGGAAACGCTCTTTGTTTCTTCCCTCCTGTCCTGGGTGGTCCTCCCTTATTGGCCACAACAGCAGTGACTTCCCCCTTCCCGGAGTCACTGTTGTTATCATTCTCCTCGTTTGGCCACTTTTCCACTGTGTCGTCATCAAAGACGACAAGGGTGTGATCCTGGCGCTTCTGTCGCCAGAGAACTCGTTTCCCATTGTACTGTCTTCCTCCAGATTTAACTACCGCTGCATAGGAATTCTTGACTTGAGAAGTCATCTGTTCCCTCTGCAGGGCAAGGTCACGAAATTGCCTGTAGTTGTACTTACCGGATTTCGCTTCAGTGACTAAGTGTCCCCGGATGGGCTCAGGCAACGCGCGGGAATAGATGTACAATACTTGGCAGTCCTGCAGGTTCAATCCTGGAACTTGCAACAATCGGTCAACTTCTCGGGACAAAGCCTCAACTGACGTCCAATGCTTTTGACCAATTGACGTCAACTGGTCAAAGGCCTTGTCGGCCGTCGTCTTGTCGAGGAAACGGTCCCTGGTTTTCGCCAAGAATTGTTTCAGCGTCAGTGTCTTTGCCCACTCACCGATATCTTCGAAACCCGCCGCATTGGYYTCRGCCAACACCCATTGCTTGGCCTCACCACCCATGCAAGAAGTGGTGAACGCGACTTGGGACTCCGGCTCGACCGGTGCGGTACTCACATACGTCTGGATTTCTGCAATCCATAGCAACAGACTTTCTTCTTTCTTGTTGCAAAACGTAAATGGCAACTTCATCTTCACTATTTCTTTCTTTTTCGGTTTTTCGGGTTCAGCGCTTATCTTTTCTGGGGTTTCTTTAGGAGTAGACTTAGAAGAATGAGAAGAGTGAGGAGTACATGATGGACTTGATCCATTTCCATTGGATCCATTTCCATTTCCATTTGTCTTTATCACAGGACCAGCAGACTTTATTGCGTCCCCCATCAATTTTTTTACTTCTTTCTTCTCCTTCTTCTCTTCTTGTTCTTCTCCTCCCTGAATCTGATTCTTACCTTTCACAATATTAGCAATTGTTCTCAATCCAACAGCGATTTCATCCAACTGATTCTGCTGTCTATCAATCTTCTCTTCTAAAAAGGTAAGATATGTCACAATATGAGCCAACGTTTGTGACATGTCAGCCTGCTCACTGACTTCTATTCCTATTACTTGCCTGATCTCTTTAACTCTTTGTTCTCTTCGTTGTTCCTGTTCTCTTCTTCGAGATACTTCTTCTTTCTTTCTTTCTTCCGCAGCCAAGGCCTCTCTTAGATGCTGGATATTGGAATCAATCGATTCTTCACTTATTTCTGTTTTTACTTCCCCCTTGCGAGTAGCTTCCATGATCTCTTCCAGTTGCTTCAAAGCAAACTGGTCTAGAGCCTGTCGCCCTTGAGTAATCAGTTTGGAGGCCTCTGAACCGGCTGCCACAACTTCCACAACCGTGATAGACTTCTTCAGATGGTCTTCAAACCCCTGAAGATCGAAATTATCACGGATGTGTTGTTCGGCATCCGGTCCAGACAGCTGTACCTCCACGAGGAACTGATTCCACAAGGCTAACAGTTCCTCTCTCTTTCTGTCAGCCTGTCCCCTTGTCCTGAGTTCAGACGGTCCTTCCCCAACGGAAAGTGTGATCGGAAAAGAAAACAGGAAAGTAGTCAGGAATCTCGTCAAGATAGACTGTTGCAGACATTTCCAGAAGTAAGACATTTTGAGATAACAAAAACACGAAAATTCGTTGGCCAGATTATTTACCGCAAAATAAACAATAATTCACGGTCACCTGAATCAGCACGCTGTTCTACCG